TTCATTTGAGCCTGCAGTCTTTTTCCTTTCCTCCCTACTCCCTTGGAAGAGTCAAAAGAGGACTTTAGGTAGGAGGATTTCTCCTCCTGTTGGTTCTTCCAGGAAGGAGGGAGAGGGGAAAAGGCACCAGGCCTGCATTGGAGCCTTCCTCTGATAAGTTGAGATGGAAATGTGGCCACGGAAGAAGTCTACAGGGGAGGAAAGGAAAGCACATGCTTTTCATGCCTACAGGTATTACAAAAGCAGGGAAAGGTGCACTTTTTTCAGGAGTATTTGGATTAAAGGCTTCCTTTTTAACACATGCTTCCCAGCTCTTAATCTTAAACGGTTCCGGCCCAGTGTATTTGTCCGAACGGATCTCCCTTTACGTCCCACCTCGAAGTTTAAGATCTTCTGGGGAGGCCCTGCTCTCGACCCCGCCAGTATCACAAGTGAGGCTGGCGGGGACGAGGAGCAGGGCCTTCTCGTGGCGGCCCCCCACCTGTGGAACGCACTCCCCGGGGAGATTAGATCGGCAACCTCCCTCCTAGCATTTAGGAAAAAACTAAAGACCTGGATGTGGGACCAAGCTTTTGGTCATTCTGATAATTAAACCAAGGACCGGCGACAGACAATGACAAATGGAATAGAACGGATGTATGGACTCTGATATATGGACCCTGACATGAGATTGTTTTAGGATTTATGCTTTTATTATGTATTGTTGTTTAACTTATTGTTGAATTTTGTACTTTTTGGATTACTTGTTGTGTGTTTTGGGCATCTAATTGTGCCCTTTATGTAAGCCGCCCTGAGTCCCCCCCGGGGTGAGAAGGGCGGGGTATAAGTGAATGAAATAAATAATAATAAATAAAATTCCTCCTGATTCCATCCACATTTTGGTTAAATGTTGCATAACCCCCCCACCCCCCATTAACACAATTTAACCTGGGTTATAATGCATGTGTAGAAGGGCCCTTAGTGGATCATGAGTTGAGCATGAATCAACAGTGAGATGCAAGAGCTTAAAAAGCCAATGGGATTTTGGGCTGCCCCAGTAGTAGTATAGTGTCTATATGATGGGAAGTAATGGTGCCCCTCTATTCTGCTTTGGTCAGATCACACCTGGAATATTCTGTCTAACTCTGGAAACCACAATTTAAGAGAGAAATTGAGAATCTGGAACATTTCCACAGGAGGGCAATCAAACGTCTGAAAAGCCCAGCAAGACACGTGGATAGCAACCCCCCCCCCAAGAAAATCATGTGCTTTTGTGTATGTGTGGGGTGGAGATGGGGGTGGACTAGAACCAGAGAACAATCACATTTTTATAATATGATTGTTCCCAGATAAAAGGGCTGTATATAACCACCCTCTGTTATTAGACTGATATCCCTGGTTTTCTCTTTGAACTGCTAGGAACAAAGATAGGAATATAGTGTCTAGATCCAGGGAAGTCATGCTACCCCTCTCTTCTGCCTTGGTCAAACCACACCTGGAATATTGTGTCCAATTCTGGGCACCACAAATGAAGAGAGATATTGACAAGCTGGAATGTGTCCAGAGGAGGGTGACTAAAATGATCGGTTCCGGAGAACAAGCTCTATGAGGAGCAGCTTAAAGGGTTGGGTATACTTAGCCTGAAGAATAGAAGGCTGAGAGCAGACATGATTGCCGTGTATAAATACGTGAGAGGAAGTCATAGGGAGGAGGGAGTAAGCTTGTTTTCTGCTGCCCTGGAGACTAGGACACGGAACAATGGCTTCAAACTACAAGAGAGGAGATTCCATCTGAACATGAGGAAGAACTTCCTGACTGTGAGAGCCGTTCAGCAGTGGAACTCTCTGCCCCAGAGTGTGGTGGAGGCTCCTTCTTTGGAAGCTTTTAAACAGAGGCTGGATGGCCATCTGTCAGGGGTGCTTTGAATGCAATTTTCCTGCTTCTTGGCAGGGGGTTGGACTGGATGGCCCGTGAGGTCTCTTCCAACTCTATGATTCTAATGTATGTGATTTACTTACAGAACTTCATGTATTCAGCATACAAGTACATTGCTTATTAATTCAAAGTTTAAACCAGGTGTCCTCAAACTTTTTAAACAGAGGGCCAGGTCACAGACCCTTAAACTGTTGGAGGGCCGGATTATAATTTGGAAAAAAAGAAGAAGAATGAATTCCAATGCTCACTGCACGTATCTTATTTGTAGTGCAAAAAACACACAAAAACAATACAATAATTAAAATGAAGAGCATTTTTAACAAATATAAACTTATTAGTATTTCAGTGGGAAGTGTGGACCTGCTTTTGGCTGATAAGATAGGATTGTTGTTGTTGTTGTTGTTGTGGTGTGCTTTCAAGTTGTTTCAGACTTAGGTTGACCCTGAGCGAGGGCCGGGTAAATGACCTTGGAGGGCCGTATCTGGCTCCCGGGCCATAGTTTGAGGACCCCTGGTTTAAACAGTCTGTTCTTTAGGCATTCTCTTTTAGTTTCTTCTTTGTTACATACAGACTAACATTCTCTTCAGTCTAATACATTACTAAACATTGACTCAATAAAGACTAACTATACACCCAGCATACTGACACTAACTGACTTCTAAGCTGTACTGCTTCTGAGATAAACTCTAAACCTCAGAAGTCAATGCTTCTTTTTCTCATTCCTTCTATAATCCAGTTCCATGTTTGCATTTACTTAGGATGTTTTAAAATATATATTTAAATGTATATATTTTGCCATATATTTCAGTCAACATACAAACTGAAATCCACTTTTGTATGCTTTTTTAAACTGTCAAGAAAAATGTTACACCATATGGCAAAGTGCAATCTCTGTTGGATAACAAAATTCCAATTAACCTGAGTGGTGCACAGAAAAGAATTCCATATCGAAATATTCATATTGAAATTCATATTGAAATTCCCACTCAAAAATGGTCAAGGTCCTCAGAACTGAGTAATTAGCCCAAATCAAACACAGTTGCTGTCTACCTGTAAAAACAAGTGTGTGTGTGTGTGTGTGTGTGTGTGTGTGTATATATATATATAGTCAATCTCCAACCTCCTCTGCAATGAAGTATAACTCTGCAGGAAGAGATTTCTTTACTTGCCTCTAGTTCAAATGCTTCCATGCAAAGAAAAGGAGAGGCAGAGCTTGCCTGGTTACAGACTGTTTCTATCTTAAACTCTTGCCCTTGATATCTTTGTCTTGGATCATCCACCCAACCTTAAGGTAGTGAGAGCAATTAATACTGTTTTTGGGAGCCAGGTAGAATCCCCCCCCCTTTCTAGTAGGTTGTTTGCCTACTTTGCATTGCATCTGTATAGAAATATGGGGTAACTGGCACTGGATGTGACGGGCAAATAGAGGGAAAAAGGCTTGAAGGGGCAGTAATGGTGACACCCCAGCACTAATTTAGTGAAGGGGATATCTCCAGGCTTGTCACTATGAGTTGCAGGGTAGAGGAAGTGGAGAAGGAGTTTATCTTTGATGCCAGCTAGTCGTGGGATGTCCCCTAGGTCTTTATTGTTGACAGCTGTCTAGGTGCCCAGTCAAAATGGTGGCTGGCATTGAGAGCTTGCATGCCTTTCCTAGGAGTTGTTGAGGGGAGAGGCAGATTGGGCATCTCATCCCTACAGATCATTAAAGTCCAAATTTAAAGATTTTAATAGCACATAAAGTGGCTCTTTAGCACCAAAATCTATCATCTGGTCTCATATTTTCTAGCTGCTCCACAGTCAAGTTTTAGAAAGTTATTTAGAAATCTGAGATGCCATGAAAGACTTATGATGACTTGTTCTGTGCTGGTGATATTAATTATGATAATATTTGAAACTGGTCATATTGACTAAATATTGCTATCAGAATTGGGCGTGTTGTCTGCATTTCTTTCCAGAAATCTAGTTAATTGCAGCAGATTTTGCTTACGTACTACATTTTACAAACAACCAATGATTGATCTGATTTGATTGTGTAAAGGGTAGATATTTAAAATTAAATGATCATGCTCAAAAATGTTGTCCAACACCCATTAATTGCTTTCTACCTATATAAGAAAGGAAGGATGTGTGTATATAGGGTAACATTAGTTAAACATTCTCTTTAAAATGTTTGAATGCCCATTCACACTATACCATTATAGCATTATTATTACACTTCGACTGCCATGTTTCTGTTCCATGGAATTCTGGGCCTGGCAATTTAGGAGAGGTATTTAGGATTTTAGTTTTCCAGTGTTTCACCAAACTACAAACCCAGGATTCCATAGGATGAAACCACGGCAAATTACAGCGGAACAATGGTGCTGCATTTGTGTAGTATGGATGGATTCTATACCTATAAAATCAGTATACTGAGAGTTAGAAATTTTGTCTAGTCAGTTCAGAATTTTAGCCCTGTTAGATGTGAGAAAGGCAGGTCTGATGTGGTCTTTTTTCTTTTAAAAAATGAAATCACATTATTCATGGGTGAGGAAATGAGATATTTCTCATTTCGTAACAGATTCTGAAACACTTCCTATGAGTTTTAGTGTATGGTTTAACAATATAATTCAGGACAAGACATTTTCTTCTTGGAAACACTATAATATAGGCAGCAATAAATAAATTGTATGAATCCTTCCCAGTCCTTCTATTCCATGGCCAATGTCATTGAGTGTACGACAGAATTCTGCATCCAATAGCACTCCAGTTTTTCATATTTTTTTCTCCTCCCCATTAAATATCAGGAAAAAAAATACCTATTGCTGTGTATATATAATATTGCTGAAAGGTTACCACTTTGTTTACTTTCCTTATTAATCTACAATAAATAATGTAATATTCATATTACTTATGAGACTATCATATAAGTTCACTGCACACTTAACAATTCAGTGCTCCTCCCATCCACCCCCACCCCCAAAATTTTACATTGCAATGATATGGTGCCTTCTTTAGACAACTGAAACATTTTAAGCATGAATCCATCTACTTAGTTATTTCTTTACTGTCACTTTTCTAACCTGCTCCTCTACTTTCCTATACAGGACTCTTTCAAAGGGCAATTGCTCAAAGTGGAACAGCTCTCTCCAGCTGGGCAGTCAGCTTCCAGCCTGCAAAATATGCAAGGATGTTGGCTACAAAAGTTGGTTGCAATGTGTCAGATACTGTTGAATTGGTAGAATGTCTACAGAAGAAGCCTTACCGAGAACTTGTTGACCAGGATATCCAACCAGCTCGATACCACATAGCCTTTGGGCCAGTTATTGATGGAGATGTGATCCCAGATGATCCTCAGATATTGATGGAGCAAGGAGAGTTCCTGAACTATGATATAATGCTGGGAGTTAACCAAGGAGAAGGGCTGAAATTTGTTGAAAACATTGTTGATAGTGAAGATGGCATATCTGCAAGTGACTTTGACTTTGCAGTTTCAAACTTTGTTGATAATTTATATGGATACCCTGAAGGCAAAGATATATTGAGAGAAACCATTAAATTTATGTATACTGACTGGGCAGATAGACACAATCCTGAGACAAGAAGGAAAACACTCTTGGCTCTGTTTACCGATCATCAGTGGGTTGCACCAGCAGTGGCTACAGCTGATCTTCATTCAAATTTTGGATCACCCACATATTTTTATGCCTTTTATCATCATTGCCAAACAGATCAGGTACCTGCATGGGCAGATGCTGCCCATGGAGATGAGGTTCCTTATGTATTAGGAATCCCAATGATTGGTCCTACAGAATTATTTCCTTGTAATTTTTCAAAAAATGATGTCATGCTAAGTGCAGTGGTGATGACGTACTGGACAAACTTTGCAAAAACTGGGTAAGTACTAGCTGATGATATAGTCAAACAATCCATATGAAACATTTGATCAGATCAGATACTACCCTTTTGCATGTTATCCAGAACACAAAAAATGAATATTTATTTGTGCAAGGTTTTTTTAACATTGGTCACTGTAAGTTTATTAAATACTTTCATACCTTAAAGCATCACATGGTCATAAAGAGCTGCCCATATAAAATAATCAAGCAAGTGTAATGTAGAATTCATAACTAGATGTAATCACTACTAAGAGGTCAGTTTATCTCTTATGATCTGTTTGAAGGGAATAATAACACATATACTTGGAAAAAATCTGACATAACATTTTAGCTTCTATACAGGGTAGGATATTTATGTGTTAACCAGTTACTTGGATAGTGGGACATAGGATGGGAAACATAGACAACAGAAATAGAAGCATCTGCTGCCTTACAAACTGAAATTTTAGTGAAGAAATCAGAATCAAAATATGGATGAGAATTAGGATTACATCTATATATGGAAATGCATTCAAATATCACTGCAAATACTGTCAAAGGACCACATTGAGTGATACAATAATGTCATCGTACATATATAATCAGCACGTATGGAAGATGAATTATTCCCTTTGTATGTATTACATTTAAGATTTGGGATAATGTAAATGTCTTGAAAAGAATTTATGCTACAACAAAAGCATGCATATTTATTATGCTGATTTATAATGGACATTTGTCTTTTGAAGATAAATGTGAAGGGTCTTCAGATGGCTGAGTCTAATAGCCTTATCACAAAGGCCAAGTGAAGCAAGAGGCTTTGCCTGGTTTCGTGGAAGAAAACAGAGGGGCAACGGGCCACATACAGCTCCCTCTTGGTGATGCTTCCCCCATCATATGTGGAAAGCATTGCCCTTCTGGGGAATCTGTGCTGTCTCCATTGGAGCCAACACATGGGAAGCCTCCCATGTTGGGAGGAAGCATGCAAAGATATTTCCACCCTGGTTGGGGGTAGGGTCTTTGCCAGAAGTCACATGACATTGTGTGATGGCCAGTGTGGGGCTCCATCCCCAAAACAGGATGGAAGCATCCCAGGATACTGAATTTGGTGAGTGTAATGAGGTTTTTAAACTTGGCTGTGAAAACAAACCATCTGCAAAATGGGGAAAATACTGCCCCACTTAATGGTATTATAAGGGTATTTGAACCACTTCAAATACTTTAAAAAGATTTCTGTTTTTGGTGAACAGCAGGCAAGCAGAAGGTGCATTAAATTCAATAATTAAGTTAACATGAATTCATAGGGCATATAAAATAAAATAAAGACTACAGCATCCTATACACTCACTGAACGAAATAGCTCTTATTTCTGAGTACTGATACATAGATGTTGTAAATGGCTTTAAATGCAGGAACTTGTCTAATATTGGAGGACAAGGTAGGTATGATGAGTGAGTAAATCTTTAGAGACAACTTGTCACTGAATACCAGGAGCTGGTAGGTAAAAACATTTAGTGCTATTGGCATAAAGTGTAGATTTCCTAGAGGCAAATCTATGATAACTTCTTTAAAATTTGGGTTCAAACCTAGAACAGATTGATAATTTGACTGACTCTGAAGCTGGTACTAAACTAAGTTCACTTTCTGATCTAGCACAGCTCTTTTTATGATCTTGCTTGTCACAACATATTTTATTTTAGCAAGTAGTGGGTGAGATGGACCTACATATTTTACAGTGGAAGCCTTTCTGCAGTTCTGTATATTTTAGAGAACTTAACCAAAGGCAATAAAGATGGATCCAAATGTAGCCATATACTCAGAACCGAACTACTTAAATCAATAGTCATGCTAATGATAGTTAACTGGCAAGTTCCATTTATTTCAGTGGTTTTACTCTGAATGCATAATTATGTTTAGATTAAACTCTCATCATTCTGTGTTTTGTGACATGCTGGTGCTATGTGTGAAGGTGAAAAGGGTCCCCTTGAAAGCATGGAACAATTTTCATAAAGGCTTAATGTGCCCATTTGTTTTCTTTCTAGGGATCCAAATCAACCAGTCCCACAAGATACAAAGTTCATTCACACAAAACCCAATCGTTTTGAGGAAGTAGCATGGACCAGATATTCTCAAAAAGACCAACTTTACCTTCATATTGGATTAAAACCACGAGTGAAAGAACATTACAGAGCCAACAAGGTGAACCTGTGGTTGGAACTTGTACCTCACCTGCACAATCTTAATGATATTTCACAGTATACCTCTACGACAACAAAAGTGCCATCAACTGATATTACTTTCAGGCCAACCCGGAAAAATCTGGTACCTGTAACTTCAGCCTTTCCTACAGCCAAGCAAGATGATCCCAAACAACCACCAAGCCTAATTTCTGGAGATCAACGAGACTATTCCACGGAATTGAGTGTAACTATTGCTGTTGGAGCCTCTTTGCTGTTCCTGAACATATTAGCTTTTGCAGCATTATATTACAAAAAGGATAAGAGAAGACATGACGTCCACCGGAGATGTAGCCCTCAGCGTACAACTACCAATGATCTCACCCATGCACAAGAAGAGGAAATAATGTCCCTCCAAATGAAGCACAGTGATTTGGGTCATGAATGTGAATCCATCCATCCACATGAGGTGGTTCTCAGGACCGCCTGCCCCCCAGACTACACACTAGCTATGAGGCGGTCACCTGATGATATTCCTTTAATGACCCCAAACACCATTACAATGATTCCCAACACTATACCTGGGATTCAGCCACTACACACATTTAATACATTTACCGGTGGACAGAATAACACCCTGCCCCATCCTCACCCACATCCACATCCACACCCCCATTCACATTCAACAACTAGGGTATAGCCAAAACAAGATGAAACAAACTTTTATTTTTTTGGCGGATTACAGTGGGTTATAATTACAGAAGACTTCACTTGGCTTTTGACCTACAAGACTCTTACTATTTAAATATGGAGGGATATTATGTGAATATACATATCAAGAACTTTGGGGATTTGGGGAAAATGCATTGTACATATATACAAATGAACTTTTAAAAAAGTATAACTTTTTGCAGTTGCTTGAAGCAATTGTCCTGAATGATACTTTTTACATTCACATTCAAGTATTAATTTTTTTGAGGATTTAAGTTACATAATGGCATTTGGCATGTGCAACACAAAAGTGGGAAAGAAATGATGACTGATTATTGGTTTTTTTTCCTTTAAAGAGTTCTTTGAATATGCACAAGGGACACATTAATGGAATGTCAGCTAATTTTCACCCGTTTTGTTTGGAACTGTTTTCTTGTGTAGACCATATTTACATATTTGGATAAGTATACAAAGCACCAATGTTGTTAAAGGCCTTAGGAAGGGGGTCATAAGCTGAGATCTGCCCATTTAAAAAAAGGAAGAAAGGAGTTTTGCTGTCAGTATAAACATTATGGGAATAAAGGATAATGGATATTTTTAGCACGATGTGCATGATCATTTGTTATGCTTGGTGGCTGTGCTACTGACTATGATGTAATCAAAATTCTTCTTATTCCATTGGAGTCCTCAATAGAAGCTTCTTCCCTCAATTGGCATGCCCTATAAAAAGTTTCTTCTCAAGAAGAGGGAAAAAAATCTTAGTGACAACCCCAAAATCTCCAGTAGCTTCTCCATAATAGAAGGCACTATATCTTACGTTGTTTGACTGTACTCAACAGTAGTGAACCCATATGGATGGGAATTCCAAAAGAAGACAATAGATAATAGTATTTTTCTGCCTGATTAAGTTATAGTGCTTATAATATCAATAAGTCATCTTTTAATGAAGCATATTTTCCATATGTTGAATAAAACACTCCAAAGATTTATTTTCAAGGAATATTTTAGACTATATAAAGATGTCCCTCCCTAAATGATCTCCACAATTACAATTCTAGATTGATTTATTTCTTTTTTGACTAATTACAATGCATGTGATCCAGTTTGCTTGAGTATGTTCAAGCTGGTTCCTTTTTGCTCTGTTTATCTTCTGCATTTCTGAGTTTACTGGAATTTTCAGAAAAGCGATATCTGCAGAGTATAATTTTGCTATATGAGGAGTACAATTACAATCTGGAAATTTTTCAGTTCTGCATCTTAGTTAACATGGTCCTGATTTGAAAGGAATGGTCTAAAATAACAGTAAGGTCTTTGTTCCTCACCCTGTTATTTTCAAGTTTAAAGAAAATGGTATGTCACAGTCATTAAAAATGTTTGTATGTGTAATCAGATGTACATTTATATAAAAAAAGAGAAAAAATTGAGATGGACTAAAGAGCACATCCCTTATGAATACATTCTCTCTTTTTCCTGTATTATATTTCTATTAGAGTAAAGTTATGTGATTTTTATTTTATTTTGCATTTTTTCAAATTACTAGCAATTTTGATAGTTTGTAAGATAATGCGCAGAACTTTCTCTGACAAACTAACTGCAGTAACAGAAATGTTTCTTTTCAGTTACTCTTTTTCAAGATTGAGAGCTTATTACACACACAACAAATTGTATACTACTTGATGGGAAAAAATTCTTTGTACTTCTGGGCCATTCTTGTTGGCCCCACTGAGTGAAAAAAAAAATAAAGCTAATCTGGATAATGAATATTATAATTATTCCAATGCTAAGAGACCTGATATTTGCTCATTAAAGAGCTCAAATGTTTATTGCTGTTTTGTCATTTTTTAAAAAATGAAGTAACGGTAGCTGTCTCAGAATAAAGAGCTATTTCTTGAGACCAGTCTGGCTTTTGAAGACTTCAGTATGCCTTCTACAGTGAAAATTAAACTAAAATTGTTTACTTTTTGGACTGAAACCTCTTGAAATTCTTAATAAGGACTGTGTTCCTTATGTAAAGCGACCATATTGTGAATGTGTAAGTAATAAGCTGCAATCCAGTGTATGCATTGCTTACCAGAAAAAAAGTTGGGTTTAATTCTGAATAAATATGTGTAAGATTGAACTGTGTACAATATATTTGGCCATATATTTGGCATAAAGTTGGCATTACTAGAAGCTTTGGAATGCTTTAAAACATTCAAAATCTCTCCCAGAGTTATTTAAAAATATTTCACATTTGCATATAAAAGGGTATATAGCCGATAAGCATTAATAAAATCAGTTATCTCAAGGATAGGAGTCATAAAATGAAACTGGAAAGTATGTCTTAATTGCAAACACATTCCTGAGCATTAATTTTTGAACTACATTACTTAATGCAGCATAGAATGGTGGCCCTGCTTGTCAAAAAAAAAATTTCCCCTGTAGAAGATGAATCAGGGCAAGTCTTCAAAATTCAGGGTGGTCGATGTGCAATTTTTGCCTGATGTGGTTGTGACTGTGACCTGCCAAATGTAAACCAATAAAAAGAATTGTTTGCCATCAGATAGCTATTGTTTAATCAGAGGATTGTATTGTATTGTGCTACTTGATTGCTGGAAAGGAAATGGGGGAAAATACAGTCAAATAAAAATGGCTATAAAACAATGATCACACATTGGAAAACCACAATGGAAAACCATATTGATGTGTTTTGTTAACATTATTATTATTGAATGTTTTCCCATAGTATTAATAGTACTAATCCAGATAACCTCTGATTACTGTTTACTTTTTAATTGAAAATATTAAGGCATTATTGAGATAGTCAATAATTATGATATGAAGAATGAGCATTGCAATGCAACTATGTAACTTTCTCTTTTTTTACCAGTTCACAAACCATGGTTGTGACCCTTCACAGTTGACAATGAAACACATGCATGTGTAACTATATAGCAGCCATGGGCAAATTTTCTAACTTTGGGGCCACATGGTGGGCCAGAGAGGAGTGGATGGGGTCCTCTCCAAGTCTCCTCCCTGCCTTTCTTCCCCTTCCTCTACTCTTTCGGAGACAGAAAGTAAAGGAAAGATGGGAAACATTAGGATTCCAAAAGAGTTAGCCTTTGTCAGGATGAGGTGGTGGATGGGAGAGAAAAAGTATATACATTAGACCCCATATTGCCTACTCCTGATATAGAATCCTAGAGATGTAACAGACCCTTGAGGGCCATCCAGGCCAACCCCCTGCCATGCAAGAAGGCACAATCAAAGCACTCCCGATAGACAGCCTCTGTGGAAAAGCCTCCAGAGAAGGAGAGTCCACCATACTCCCAGGCAGCCAATGCCACTCTCCAACAACTCTTACTCTCAGGAAGTTCTTCCTAATCTATCCAGTCTAATCTCTTTCTTTGTCATTTGAGACCATTGCTCCCTTGTTCCCTGGTCTCTAATGCAGCAGAAAGTCAAATTTCCCCCTTCTCCTCAATTGGACATTCTTTTAAATCTTGAAATATGGTTCTCATGTTCCCTCTCTACTTTCTCTTCTCCCAGCTAAACATTCCCTAGGAGGAAGGAATAAGAGAAGGAAGGAAGGAAGGAAGGAAGGAAGGAAGGAAGGAAGGAAGGAAGGAAGGAAGGAAGGAAGGGAGAAAGAGAAAGAAGGATGGATGGAAGTGTGGAAGGGAATGAAAAAGGAAAAGGGGGAAGAGAGGGAAGAGAGAAGGAAGGAAAGACAAAAGGGAAGGAAGGAAGGAGAAAGAGAGGGAAGGAGGGAGGAAAGAGGGAAGGAAAGAAGGACAAAATGGTGGAAGGGAGGGAGGGAAGGAAGGAAGGAAGGAAGGAAGGAAGGAAGGAAGGAAGGATATGATGATGAGAGAGAGGAGGGTCTGAGAAAAGAACCCAAGGGGCTGAATCTGGCCCCCATGCCTGGGTTTGCCTATACCTGCTATATAGAATCAGTCATAAGTATTACTAACCAGGCTGTTACAGGGGTTCTCTTATTCTCATTTTTATGGATGAACTTGCTCAATTTCATGTATGGAAATAATATTTAAAAATATTTGTGAAATGGTTAGAAAATACAGTTTTGAAATATCCAGAAATTCTAACCCTGGACTGATGAGAACATTTACAATTCATGTGCACAAAATTCACAAATGATTTCTTTGTATGAAAAACAGCATTATTCATGCAGTACACAACTTTTTGTGCAGAAAATAATACAGATATGCTAGAGTTGGGGATGTATTATGTGCATATTATTAATTTCCATAGTAAACAGCATTTGCTGCACAGGTAACAGACTATAAATATTAGTGCAGTTTTCTGCACTGAAAATGTTATTTTCTACCTGTGAATTTTGTTCAGAATAATGAATTGCAAATGTGCTTCAATAACAGCATTTTTTGAAGACTGCCTTGCAGCAGGAAAAAAATGCTAAAACTACTAATTAATTGCTTGCTTCAAGAATGAACTCAATGAAGCATTGCATCCCCATATTCTCACGCAGAAACTGAAGTTTTGGGTGTGCAAATGCCCACATTTATTTTCATGGAGGGAAAGAGATTTTTGGTTTGCAGACTTAATTCCTCCATTGACATGAAAAGAGAAAAACCTTGGAAGAGCTGTTTTCACAACCTCCCTGTGCCTGCAACACACCTCTGGATTGAAATGGTCACGTGAAGCAGAAGTGAAGACAAAGCTTTTGGAGAACCACTGAGAGCTTTATTTGGCTTACCCCTCTATAATTGCAAAAAAAAAAAATCACTTTTTTGAGTGTAAAATATGAAATATAAAATATGAAACATTATTGCACAGTTCTTGTGGGTTTTTTCGGGCTATATGGCCATGTTCTAGAGGCATTTCTCCTGACGTTTCACCTGCATCTATGGCAAGCTTCCTCAGAGGTGAGGTCACCTCTGAGGAAGCTTGCCATAGATGCAGGTGAAACGTCAGGAGAAATGCCTCTAGAACATGGCCATATAGCCCGAAAAAACCCACAAGAACTGAGTGATTCCGGCCATGAAAGCCTTCGACAATACATTGAACATTATTGCAATTAACTGAATAACCTTGAAGATGTTTTATGGAGTTTATTTCTATCTATTCAAAATATGCATGCTTTGATTCTTCTTTTAAAAAATGTGATTCGGAAAATTAATTCATGTGTGATATGCTTTTTCTGAGAAATTTCCCATTTAATTTTTGAATTGGGTTTCAAATGCTGATGTATTTTTTCTACTTTGTATTTCCAACTATTGTGTGCATAATGGAACTTGAGCCTCAGTGGATGCCAAGGGCCCGCTGTAAAAACAACAGTTAAGCTTTCAACCCTAACTTCAAATGAGAATGGATAAAATTCATGTTGATATTGGACCCCCATCAGAAACCCCCTCCCTCAAAGTCTTTTTGAGAAGGCATGAAGTTGGCTAATTATGCCCTCAGAATCCTCTGAAGAAAAGAGAAATTGAACAATTGAATACTATTTTCAGATAGACTCTTTAACTGCTTTGATTAGGTATCACAAGTTGTAGTGAAGAATATTGGGAATGCAGTTAACAGAGATCTGATAGAAAGAGAAAATGGCCACAGATCACAGTAAAGCTATCTAGAACCGCTTTAAATTGCAGTCATGAAAATGTCCTCAAGCATAAAAGCCAGAAGAAGCAGTACATCACTACAGTGACATTTTAGTCACTGGGAGTTCACTGCCTACCTTGCCAAAAGTTCAGTTAACATTAATGTTCTACCAGACATGTTTTGCTTCTGGAGCAGGGCACAAATGGATCAAGTCAAGGGCAAAGAGGCCATTGCCTAAGCACCTTCTATGATACAGACTGGGGATGTCACAGTTATATACCAGCCCTTGTTGCAGCATATGACATTCCCTTCCCTTTGCAGTTGATGAAAAGAAAAGAAAAACTATGGCTAGAAGATACTCCTAGTCTTCACAGATGCAGAGAAGGTTGTGCTGCCTGTTATACTGTGCTGACAGATCTGCATACAATAATATGGGAAGACAGATGAATAGTCTTAAGAGCATTGAAAGCAGCTATCACAATCCTTACTGCCTCCTCTCTCTCAAAGCCATGGCACAAACTCTAGTGGCGGAGACATATGCATATATTTTCTACATTATTGTATAGTAAAATGATGAAAAGGCAAAAGCAAAACTGTTTACTGTTGTGGTATATGCATACTAGCTTAAGCTTGTGATGTCAGCACTAATACACTGTTCCCCTCCAGTTCCCAAATCTATTTGTTTTCTGAAGAGTGAAAGAGCAACATGTACTTTTTATGTGTAAACACGTACTCCCATATGAACTAACACACGTTTTAAGATCTTTTCAGAAAGATTTTATTTCAGGGTATGTTTACACAGTCCAAATATGCCAAATTGGGACATCCCAGAAATTACTCCTGGATGTCCACACAATATTCAGGGACTTCTGGTTCCTAGTATATGATAAAACTGGTTACGGTATTGTCAACGGCTTTCATGGCCTTATCTAGAGGCATTCTCTCCTGACTTTTCACATGCATCTATGGCAAGCATCCTCACAACCTCTGAGGATGCTTGCCATAGATGCAGGCAAAACGTCAGGAGAGAATGGCTCTAGAACATAGCCATATAGCCTGAAAAAACCTACAACCCAAAACTGGTTAACATGTTAGACAAATTTGAGGAAAGCTCCCGAGCCTCCCTGGAACTCGGGACCAGCCCCACAGCCCTTTAGAGAGAACCTGAACATTGCCAAGTGCCTTTGCTTATGTCAGCAAAGGTACCAGCAGCACAACTTGGGGAAAGGAGGGAGGTCATCACCCCCTCCTTTCCCCCTTCTTTCCCCAGATCAAAATCAGCAAATAATGGAAATGTTAAGAATGACTGTCCAGGTTCAAACCAGTTTTAGCTGAACTGGATGGTCAGGACTCCACTCTCCTCTCTGCCTCAGTTTGAGAGCAGAATATGAAAACACCTTTGCAGATTCCAGGCCCAGTCCAAACTACATAATTATGTTCACATATAAATAGGTCCACAGTCCTACTTACCTGTGGATATATGTGCTAGTGATATAGGGAAGACTTTCTTGGTGACAGCTTTCAGATTCAGAAACTCCCTTCCTAGGCAGCTGGACTAGCATCATCTTTGTTTATGTTCCATTGGCATATGAAGATAAGTTATTCCTATTAGGGGAAACATGCTTTTCAGACCTGTTTGCAAGGTTTCTAGTAATGTACTGTATTGTGATATCTTGTCTTTTTAATGACAATATTTCATATTGTTTTCATTGTAAAGTCAGTTTAATTATATTTTTAAAACATATTTTGTATATTTTTTAGCTGTATGTGTGTTTTTCACTCTGAATCTGCCGCAATTTTTCTAAGTCACTTTGAATTTCAGCTGGGGTGTGTGTGTGTGTGGGGGGGGGGGAGATTACTGCTGCTGCTGCTGCTGCTGCTGCTACTACTACTACTACTACAACGGCCAGAATCCTGTATCAGCTACATAGCTAAGTATATCAGTATGCAAAGGGATCTTACATTAAATATACTTAACTAACTAG